ACTTTATTGTTGAAATCATAAAAAAAATGATATATTATTATTATTATATAATGATTATTTGAATAGAGAATGAAGAGACCTTTCAAGCGATATATCACAAACCATCACTTACATTTAAAAAATTGGGGGTTGTACCTGTCATTCGACGGGGGTTGAAGGTAGGGGTAGCATTTTTCCGTTGAAGTATGTCAAATTAAAATTTGACGTGTTTCGGGATTTTGTTAAAATGTGTATCGTAACCGAAAAAATTAATTTATTCCATTAGGCTTTTAGACACTGAATGTTCACACAATCATACACAAAACTTTTTATATCTCCATTGATTCCACTCTAGACGCTTGGAAATGTAAAAAATGTTAATTCAAACTACGAACTATGAACATTTTCTAGTTTTGGACTATAGTTTTGGAATAATCTCTTCCTCGGGTTTTGTCAATGTCGATAGTCATGTCACTAAGTGTTCTGGCGATGTATTGAATTCATTGAAGCCTTTGGATACACCCTAAATTTTGTTTTATGAGAGAGAGGCAATTGGCAGATCAAGATCTTCAGATGATGTGGTGCTGCAGATTTTTCCGGGTTTTCCTGCAGCTAAAAAAGCAAATGCGACACTGTTGTATGTATTATAATTTCACGCTTTGTATTTTGGAAGTTCAAGTACACAGTTATTTTATAAAAAAATCATTGCTAATGAAGTTGACTAACCCATCCTTAAATTTAGTTGGCAAAACCTAACACCAAAAGTTGAAGTGAACTTGATTGAAATCTTTTATATTTTCAGGAATGGATGCAAACAATGAACGAAGGATATTTGAGTTGATTGTGGAATCAACTTGTCAACAAACTTCCTCCCAGTATTTTTTGATAACACCAAAACTTGTACCCCATTTGAAGTACTCACAGAACATGTGTATACACATTGTTCATAATGGGCCTTTTGTGGCACAGGATAAAAAATGGGGATTTTCAAAACTCTGTAACTACCATTCCACCAATATTGGCTGAACGTGATACAACAAAGTGATATTCGAAAAATGTATTTTTTATATATATTTTTAGGTAATTTTGACTATTTTGATAATAAATGACCGAATCAAACTTACCTGGTTTCTGACATCGGGAGATGATGCCAGTTTCTTAACTTTTATCAATTGTTGACGATAAATTATTAGTGCAGTAAAAGGTAATCTGCAGATCATAAAAGTGACTGTCACAATGAACATCATTTTTGCTGCCTTCTTCTTATAGTTAATTTGTTGTTGTTGCAATTTTTTCATGATGATCTTTTCATATTTGCTCAACTGAAAAGATAATATTCACTAATCGCCCGTATTTAACTTTCCTCGTTTCTAAAACTCACCTTCACGAAAATAGAAATATAACAAATAATTTGAATTGATAAAGGTAACCATATAAGGATAGCTGTTAAAACATACCAATAAATATTGGTCACCAACACATTTTCAGTACAATACTTTTCCAGGAAGTCTAACCATCGGCGTTCCTGAAACATATTTTTTATTCGTATTTTTGTTTCAAAATATTGATCAGTTTGTATTTCATTAGTTCGGTCTAATATGATATAAATTGATTTGAAATATTTTTTGAGATATTTCCAAAACTTTATAATCGACTTGAAATACAATTAAAACATTTATGAATGGAACTCGACTTCGTTCATATGGCCACCGCGTGCACGTCGGCAGCGGTCGATTCCTTGGACCCAATTTTCGATGACCCGTGCACAAATTTCAGCCGTAACGACCGCTATTTCGCGTTTAATGTTGACTCCGAGTTTTTCCAACGTCGTCGGCTTGTTGACATAGACCAATGATTTGACGTAGCCCCAAAGAAAAAAGTCTACCGGCGTTAAATCGCACGAACGAGGTGACCAATTGGGTGGTCCAATAAATCGATTGTAACGTGTGCTGTGTGGCTAGTAGTACCGTCCTGTTGTAACCACATGTCTTCCAAGTTCCATGTTTTCCAATTCGGACCAAAAATAGTCAGTAATCATGGCGCGATAACGATCGCCATTCACAGTAAAGTGATGATCGTTATTGTTGACGAAAAAATTTGTCCCAATGACGCCGCCGACATGCAAACCTCACCAAACAGTTATTTTTTATGGATGAAGTGGTGATTCATGAAGCACATGTGGATTTTCACTAGACCAATAACGCTTATTGACGAACTCATTGAGAGAACGGAGAACGTACGTCGCGTCAAATGATCCATCAGCTTCAATTCTTGAGCCAGTTTGATCTTGTATGGGTGTACCCATACAAGATCAAACTTGCCTTGCCTTGCCTTATTCTCTCCAGTATTTTATTGTAAAGCCCTAGGTGAGGGGAGTTGTTTTTTGATTTTGTAAGTTGAAAAGACTGTGTTTTCATGAGATTAGATGAACGGGTATTGTAGGTATGGGACTCTGACATTAGTGTAAAATTGCTTTTTTGTTTGTGAATATCAATCATAGAATAGTATATGAACAAACACGGTAATGGCATTATTCCATATTTAACAAACAAGGGTTTGCAGTGATCATTAAAATTTGCTCCAGATATTATTCTGACACTTTTTTTTGCAATGTAAAAATTTAGTTGGCGGTGGATGCGTTCCCCCAGAGGATCACACCATATGTTAGGTGGGAGTGCACCAGTGAATAGTAATTAGAGAGCAGTGTGTCAATGTTCAACACCTTTTTAAGTTGTCATAACAGGAAAATATAACTGGATATTTTTGAGCTTAACTGATATACGTGTTCCGACCAGTTTAGTTTATCATCTATAATTATACCCAGTAATATCGCGTGGTTTCCATTTGCCACCTGGTTGTTTGTAGAAATCGTGAGATGTTAGGTTTTCTCTCTATACTCTCTATACGTTAAGATCTAACTATAATTTTATTGTTCCCCAGCATAAATTGACGAAAAAAGCAAAGGGCCCTCTAATTAGGCCCATCAAGTTATTCAACAAACTACCTATCTCTCTTAAACAGCTATCAAACCTGTATTCCTTCAAAAAAATGTTAAAAAACTGTTACATGACAATACATTTTATTCCCTCAATGAATACTTCCAGACTGATTTGGTAATATTAATCAAAACAGAGTCCTAATATGAAGAAATCGACGAAATGTAACAGACATTGAGTCAGCAGCAGTGGACACTGGTCAACAGAGGGGGGTTGTATCCTGCTCCACAACCACGCCCGTCCGCATGTTTCACAAATCACTGTCCGAAAATTAAACGAATTGAGCGTCAAAGTTCTGCCTCACCACCACACTCGCCAGACCTCTCGCCAACCGACTACCATCTTTTCAAGCACTTTCTCACCGGTATATGCTTCGACAATCACGATCAGGAAAGAATGGCCTTCGCCGACTTCATCGAACACCAAGCAGCCACTTTTTATGCTGACGGAATAATCAACTTGTGTTACGTTTGCAAAAGTGTACTGATAAGAGATATTACAAAACTTTTGAAACGACCTTATATTATAAATCAACCGTTGGATTGCATATAGGTAGTCCTTGAAACTGCCAGTTTGCAATATCAATAGTTTTTGTTTCCTATCAAAGACAGTATATTTCGAATATTGATTATGTCATTATTTGTATTATTTTAAAATAAAACGTTTATTCCTGATGTGAGGGTTCATTTCGTCACATTCAGACCAGTGTGGTCGGATCGACCACACAATTGCAGTCGCGTTCCATCGAACTCAAGCCGCCCATAAGAAATACTGTACTACACCATACACGGGCGTTCACAAAAGTCAAAACGGACGTCTGCAGTCAGTTGCTGCTGATCTCCGCCGAGATGTCATCGCGGCATTCACCGTACACTAACCATAAACTTGCAGTCGTACCGAACCGCGTACACCGTCTTGTACTTTTTCTCATATTGGTCTCACAGCATTCAATTTTTGATGTCAATTGCCTCAACTGCAAGTGCGGTTTATATGACCGCAAGTCGACCACAAAAATGTGGTTGGGTCAACCGCGAAGTAAAGTCAACGTGGCCACAATATTGTGGTTGCCTCAACTGCAAATATGTGGTCCGTGTACGGCCGGACTTAGTGCGCCCTTTATGTTGATGATAGACACTACCTTGCACTGACGAGTGGCCAAATATCCCGAAACCGGTCTGCAAGTGTGTTCCAATAATAGAAAATCTATTGCGGCAGTTGTATCGCCAACAGCATATGCAGGAATAACTTCTCTGAAGAATCCTGCACTGACACCTGTCGGATATAATCCAACGCCCTTCGTGGTATTAGCCAGGGGAGTAGTTGTTTTCTGATAGGTGTCAGTACATTAACCTACTGTGTAGGGCAGTGGTCGCCAACCTGTCGATCGCGAGCTACCGGTAGCT